GACACTTGACTTGGGTACATTAGTACTGCTAACCTTAGATACTTGGGTGTGAGTCAGATTCACAGCTTTCCGGCGTGACTCCACAGCTGATCTGCTCGTGTTTCGTCGCTCTGTCACTGGGTTAGACCACTCCGCGATACTAGTAGTGTTCACGGTGGTGGTGGTGGTGGTAGTGGGTGGGTGCAAATCCGGTCCTTGTGTTTCGCTGCTCTCTTCCGTCAATTCCTCGCGTATTGTTTCAAGCGGTCTGAGGTTAGCACGTCCTGTGTCTCGTTTACCTGACGGAGCAGCATAAATCACGCGATTACGGCTCCTCAGCAGTGGAATTAACCCTATAAGATCGGAATCGTGATGCTCTGTCGCATTTGATTGCTTGGTTTGCTGTGTCTCAGATTCTAGGCTGGATTCCACAGTGTCTTGGCTGGTTTTCAATCTGTTTGATCTGGATTCCACAATATCTAGGTCGTATTCCTTCGTGCCTCGCCTGCATTCCACAGTATCCTTCCTGCATACCGCAGGGTTCTTCCTGGATTTCACAGAGACTTGGCTAGATTTAACACTGTCTCTGCAGGGTTCCACAGAGTCTTGGCTGGAATTTACACTGTCTCGGCTGGATTCCGCAGTGTCTTGGCTGGAATTTTCTCTGTCTTTCCTAGTTTCCACAGTGTCTTGGCTGGATTCTACTTTATCTTTCCTGGATTCCACAGAGCCTCTGCTGAATACCACAGTGCCTCGGCGGGATTTCACCGTGTCTAGGCTGGTTTCCACGTTGTCTGGGCTGATTTCCGTGGTGCGCCGGCTCGAGTCCTCGTCTGGAATGTGGGAACGTTGATGATGCGAACCTAGACCCGTCACCAGGCGTGGTCGCTCCCCAGTGCTGCGTGTGTTCACGTCTGGACTCGACACTTGGCCGTCTTCATCAGGTATTGGCGTGAGCGGCTCGGGTGTTGGCAGAGGCTCGGGCGTTGCACAGAGCTCAGGTGTTGGAAGAGCTTGGGGCGTCGGAGTGTGTCCAGGTGCTGGCAGAGGCTCTGGAGATGCAACGCGCACCCTGGGCGTATCATATTCCGTAGACCTACGAGTCCTATCAGAACCGCTGATAGTGATATTGAAACCGTCACTCCTAACAGGGACCAGTCGCCAGGCAGGATAGTGACTCGGGTACCACGTCTGCGTGTATTCGTATATTTGCAGTCCAGCAACTCGACTGGCTCCTCGGCCTTGGTCGCCACTCTTCTTCGTACCCCTAGCCCTGGCACTGCTGCTCAGCGGTGCAGTTCTGCATCGAGCAATCGTATGATAAGTCACGGTGCTAGTAGTAGTAGTATCACGTGGTACAGCCGCTGTGGCTGCTGCATTGCCCGAGGGCTGGCTGGGCCGGGCCGCCACCTCTCCCTGCTGGGACGGCTCTCCGCTACCTGAGTTCCGACGGGGTTGCCGGTCGCTAGCGCTCTTGTCCGTTGCTGGCGTCGCCGTCGCTGTTCTGTCACCGCGTTGCCTGCGCCGGCCTGGATTGCCACTAGTATTCCTGTGAGCAGTCTGCATGATGTGACGCTGGAAGCTTGTTCATCGGAAAGTATCACCACACACGGCAGCAAAACAGTGTGAACGCTTAAGCTCTACAAACACAAAGACACGTTAGTCATCATTCTCTAGCTCTTGCCCTACATTGCAGGGCAAGCGCAATACAGATCGGTGGAGAGCGCACCCTGACGTGGCTGAACTAACTGTTAGTGTTACTTTGAGTTTTTGTAGGCACACCAAGCTACCCTGCTTCGTACTCATTCACACAGTGGCTACCAAGTCCTACTCATGCCACTCGTGGTGATGTGTGTATGTGTGGCTCGAGTCCAGATGACCGCGCAGTGCGGTGGCAGGCAGTGTCTCATTGATACTAATCTTTACTTATAAAAGAGAGGCACCTGTGACGTGTGTCTGTGTGTGTGTGTGTGTGTGTGTGTGTGTGTGTGTGTGTGTGTGTCACGCTCCTTATAAAGAAGAGGCACCTGTGACGTGTGTTTTTGTGTCACGCTGCCCTGAGCACGCGAAGCGTGCGAACAGTGTAGCTAGCGGCCGCAGAAGCACTGAGCACGCGAAGCTTGCGAATCGTGTAGCTAGCGGAAGCAGCCACAGAAGCACTGAGCACGTACGCGAAGCGTTCGAATCGTGTAGCCACCACCACGTGCTGAGCACGCGAAGCGTGCGAACAGTGTAGGTACGGTGCACCGGTGGTGGCGCTTGGACACGATCAGTAGTTGTATACGAGCAGTAGCAGCCGCGCGCAGAAGCACTGAGCACGCGAAGCGTGCGAATCATGTAGCCACCTAGCCTAGGCCATATATCATAGGTAGCACTAGCAGCCGCACAAGCGCTGCGGACCACGTGAACCGTTCTCTGCAAATAGAAACATCTGCAACAAAAGGATACAAAAGATCTGCACTGACTGAACTCTGCATCTGATCTGCGGTGAAGAGCGCATCGCACTTTTGTTCGTAAGTTTATGAATTTTTTGAGCCGCTTCATCCGCCACCAGGTGATGGACAACCCTGACCAGCCTCCCGAAGGCGTAACAGACTAGGCTATAACAGACGTCCCTCCTTCTCCTTCCAACAATGAAGAACCTCCCTCACCAGGACTTCAGCGGTCTGGCCACCACCACGTGCTGAGCACGTGTGCTGTTCATGTACTTGCTTCATGCACCCGCATGCCACATTCGGCCAGGCAACGCTGGCGGGGGTGCTGCTAGTACTACAGTCGTCCCTCTCTAATCCGGCACTTTATAATCCAGCACCCTCGATAAACCAGCACAATTTTCAGTAGCCAAATGTCCTCTTCATGCACATTGCAGCAGTAGATCAGATTTGTTAATCCAGCACCCTCCCTAATCCAGCAGATTTCCGTGGCACAAATGGTGCCGGATTATAGAGGGACCACTGTATTATAATATTACTAGCCAGGCACATCCAATGTCACGTGCACTTTAACGACAGTAACGACGTAGCCGTTATATGAACAGCACAGACTACAGTCCTCCCAGTACTGCCACCATGCCTAGTTCTGAAGTAGTTCCAAACCCAAATGCTACTTTAAAAGTAGCATACTTAAAAGTACTTATTTTGTAGACGACTTCACTGTCGTCGTATTGTCATTGATCCAGGAATGGCAGGATGGACGCACATACATGTACATAATCATTGCACGATAACGTGCAGGGTTGAGTGCATGCCGTGGTGGTGATCACGTGAGGGCGTCGTTGGTTGGGTACAACATACAAAGTGCGATGATACACGACGCCTGGATGTTGCACACGAGCATCTGAACCTTGTCCTCTCCAAAGATCTAGACAGTTAGTCTGATAGCCATGCTGCTAGGCGCTAGGCGCTAGGCCCATACACTACACTAGTATACTGTTACCATGGTTACTTGTTAGACTTGTGATCTCACGTCTGGCACATCAGCGTGCTACCGCCTGCCGGTACTAGAGCCAAGTAGAGGCCAGGTGACTAATATAAAATGACACCTACATGTACATGTACATGATTGTATTTAAAAAAGGAATCGAAGGACAAGTCAACAAGTCTTCACAAGAAAACAGTGAATGCGTGCCATCAATTATTTACTCTTGGTGCCACACATGGGGATCGGAACCTAACGGTTCCATGAACTCATTGCAGTATTCGTACTCTTTTAGCAGCATACATGCACATGCCCATTAGGTGAGGACTATTGCCAGTATTGGCACTCATTTTGATGATCACTCCCGCAAACATTCCTGTAAGTATTCGGGTCTACTCGTTGGCATGCCGCTAGCCTGTTCATCGTAGTCCCCCCTCCCCCTTTCCCAATCTGTACTCTCTTGTAGCGTTTTCCTTCAATGCGACGGACCTAGGCTTTCGCCAAATTGGCCCGTTTTTCGCCTTTTCGTGACTCAAAAATACATCAGATTCGGCTGCAAATCAGCTGTAAAATTAATAATTATATTGGAAAATCGGCTAAACGAATTGTCACACACACACACACACACACACACACACACACACACACACACACACACACACACACACACACACACACACACACACACACACACACACACACACACACACACACACACACACACACACTCAAACAAACACAGAAAGTACACTCAACAAGTCAGCCTTCCTTCTGCGTCGCTGTTTCTTCAAATCGATGAAAAAGCTGAAATGACCTCAGCACGTGTTATGCAATTCCAAAGAAAGTTCAACAACAACAACAACAAAATCGTCGTGTCTTTCTTTCTTCAGTATAGTAATGAATCACATGCTATACTTGCTGGTTGTCTATACAAAAGATACTTGGCAATAGTGTTATGCTACTTAGTATCGTGACTATCCACCTACAGTGCAGGCGACTGAAATCCGATCCCCTGAGCGGTGCGCTCACATCCCAAAGACCCAACACGGGATGGTAACACTACGAAACAGAGACCGCTAGAATGTGAACCCAGCGCTCAGGGGTCGGATTTCAGTTGCCAGCACTGTACATGACATTGTACGTATACTGCCTCGAAGAAAAACCTGGTTGGTATGCAAGACTCGGACACTGCAGAGAAAAAGCTTCAACAGAAGCCTCTCACACGCATCACGTTGAAGTACAACAGAAAACCATACAAGTAGTACAGACCTTTCCCAGTTCAACTGCCACTCAGAACTTTTAATAGTTGAGAGATGCTCACGCTGTCACTACTCTATGCAAGAAGGCTACATACGTACATGTACATGACATTTTACAGGACTTAATTGTAGATTATGATGCACTGAGCGAAGGCGATATCTAGATGAACTGGGCGCTCTCACGAACCCCGACAGATGTAGAATACAGTGCACCGCGGCGGCATTGCTCTGCGTCTGCGATGCGATCGACACAGGCGTGAATGCAAACATTACTCAAGTCCCAGCCCCAGTCCAAACACATCGCCACAATCAATAATAATTATTTTTGTTGGCATTCAGTGATAGTTACCCGTCACTTTCACTCCACTCCTCCTTGTCTACCACCAATCTATACACCTTCTTCCCTGCCTTCTTCTTTTTCCGTTTCTTCTTCTGCTTCTTCGGCACGTGTTCGCTTTTCAGGGTCTCTGTTGTTCTAGTATCGACTTCACTTGTCTGAGAAGTTTCAAAGTATGTACCCGTACTCGTGTTTCGCTTCACAAAGCCAGTACGAGCTTGAAATTCTGCGACGCTTTCTTTCCCCGATTCTCGATGCTTCCTACGCTGATGAGGTTTCTTCGCGGAGTCCTCCTTCTCATCAGTGACTGTCGTGGTGGCGGAACGTTTTCGAGCGATCTCTTCGTTATTCGATTGCTTTCGTGGACGAGAATAATGTGGTCTCTCTCCTGCGCTCACAGCCTCAGCATCTCCGTGTAAGCCTTGTAGCGAAGCTCTCCTCCCTACTGTTCTTTCCGCTGCAGGGATGCTCGCTGTCACAGCGTTGTCGTGGCCATCAGAAGTTTGCTGCTGTTCATGCGCCTCGTCACTCGGGCGGTTCTCTAGCACGGGAGCCAGGCTCGGTGCAATCGATGCCTTTCGACCTCTTCCATACCGACGCTCTGGACTTGTGTGCATCGAAAGCCTCCTGCGTTTCGAACTTTCGCTCGGCTCGTCCTGATGTTTCTGTGAATGATCCGCGCTCTGGGTCTTCTTAGATTTCTTTTTTGACTTCGGGTGAACGGACACCCAAGGTCGCCCATCGACTACATCAGATAGATAGAGTTTGACCGATTTCAGCGGCTTCCTTGTCAAGTTTTCCACTCGTGAGCATGACGTGGCAGATAGATAGATCCGTTTGGGCGGTTTGGCTTTTGCTCTTCGTTTCTTGGCATACGGGTCGAGGCGTTGAACGATAGGCGACGGCGGAGTGCACCGTGGGTTCACCTTGCACGTAACGGGCACCGACACCTTCGCTTTTGGGACGATCAGACGTTTGGCCTTGGTGTCGCCATGCTTAGGGCCGCTTGCTGTTGGCGTTGACATTCTCCAGTCATCCAGCTGGTAAAGCAGTCACTGAGTATTTGTACGCAACAGATTTCCAGCGGGAACGTGTCCTCTGCGGAACACTGTAGCAGTTCTATTCTGAGTAGGATCAGTGTCCGACAGCTGCAGGTCAAGCTATTTTAATTTCGCAGTTCTAAACTAATTTCATCGGCCCATTGCGACAACCTGCTCGTCTTTTTGCCATTCAGCGCTCTTTTAACGCTTTTTGATCTAACTGGTTCACGCTAGGCAGACCGTGCTAAGATTCACATGGTCATTGCTGATGATTATGGCTGTTGAGTGTTGTGTGCAGATGGCCTTCTACTTCTAGTCTCGCGTTAGTGGTGCCATGTAGAGGAGGGTAGAATGGTCTGGTTTCAGCACTGGATGGGCTAGTGACCGTGGTGACAGGTAGGTGCAACCACTAGCCCTTGGCAGATAATGTCGGCAGACAAATGTGCACATTTGCCTGCCGACATGATGTAGAATTTGGTACTTTTTCTGGTATTATTTTCATGTGTATTTTCGGTGTATGGATAAAGAAATGGAGCAGAATTCAAGGAACGGTGCCTGTCATACGGTTTGTGTGTTTCTGCCAAATAAAATTTACTGCTTTTCGAGCATTGTCCGCCAAGGGGCTAGCAACCATTGACATGACTTGCTTATGGCCGTCGTGCCCTTATAAAGTTACCATGTTGATGTGATACCTGGAGAGAGAGAGAGAGCCATGGATTTCGGGTAATTTCGGTACAGTCAGACCTCGCATAACCGCACACATCCGTGTTCCACAAAAATATCCGGATAGGCGAGGGAACCGGATAATCGACCACACATACTGTATGTAATCGAACACACATACTGTATGTATGCATGGCATATGCTGTGAATCGGTAACCAACGATTTTCTTACCAGTGGCGATGGATCCGGATAAAGGAGGAACGGATAAGCGAGGTCTAGCTGTACTCTGACTGTTGATCACTTTCACCACAGGTAGCGGAGTTTTTTCGTTTGGGTTTGAAAATCTTTATTTCACATAATTATGCATTTTCCTGATTTCTTCTCCAGTGTAATTATGTTGTATTGCATTTTAATCCATTGTGTATTTTTTGCCCGTAAAAGAGGCTTTTACTGATAATATCAACCACCACACCACACCGCTGCGCTCTCCGGCCGACCTCAACACGTTGCCACAGCACACCATCAGCAAAACGACACTTCAGCTGGTACTCTGCTCCTTCAGACAGCAGCTGTTTCGATCATCAGGATCTCGTCAGTGAAGGTTGATAATGTAGAATGGCTAACAGATAGTGAACTTCACCCTTTTGTAGCAAAAAAAGGGGAAACATAATGGCGCATCTTAGGCGCAAAAGGGGGGAAACATAATAGCGCATCTTAGGCGCGAAGATTAAGGCGCGAAGATTAAGGCTAAGCAAAGGCGATACTGATAGACTACACTGAGGATACTAGTAATATAAAGGGTGTTAGTGAGAATACAGTCATGTAGTGATAGCCAGGTGTGACTTCGATAGATGGCACAGCATAGCACGGCCTTAATCTTCGCGCCTAAGATGCGCCATTATGTTTCCCCCCTTTTTTGCGACTACTTTTCGCTCTGTTAGAGCTCATCAGCACAGCTCAGAGGACCGAAGCGCAGCTCTTCGCAATGAAATACGTTTCCGTGAAGCAAAGCATTTTTTATAAAGAGCTGCAAACCCCGCCAAGAGTGACTGCACAAGAACGGAACACTTAACTCTAGAACCCGGAACAGGCGCTGTAGCAGAAGTACATGTACATGTAATAGAATTTAATATTTCACTAGGCAATGGTACATCTTGCAAAGAATGCTGCCCGGCGTCTAGAGGCCAACAAGTTATCAAACATACTAGTAGTCTAGAGTGGTTGTGAATGTGGAAGTGGAACAATAACAATTTGAGTAAAACAGTTCACATGTAGCCCATGATTGAGATCACCCATGGGATTATCGCATCTGCCGGTTAAAGAGAAACAAAAACTAGAATTACATGTACACATTCTCTCCATTCTGTTATTTCAAAGACAAAAATGGCAGTGGTAACAAGAACGAAACACTGTCTAGACTGGGCTGGTGGCCTAGTAGAACTATCCGATTGAAATAAAAGTTGAAGCAGAACTCTGTGCCAGAACTTTGCAGCTTAGAGAGAGAGAGAGCGTGTGTGGGCAGGCGTGTGTTTACCGCCATCTTGCTAGGTGTGTCTTTACCACCATATTTATCAACCAGAACCATATCAGCACTAACAGGACAAAAAGGAAGTGAAACCAAGTATTAAGTTAATAACGGTCTAAACTGGGCCGGTCACCTAGTACAACTATCTGGTGAAGCACTGCAATTTGGCACAGTTCAAGTCCTAAGGCAATAATACAAAAATCCATGCGTTTAGGGCTGAGCACTGGTACGAGATTGCTCTGCCTTCCTGCACCCAAAGGCCTCTCCGAAAGCACAATGTAATCCTCCACCTGTTTGAGGGTTGGATGGACCACATAGGAATAGAATCATCCGCCTTCATTCGGGTTGGAGATTCCGGCTGGCTCGCATCCTTTGGCATGACTGCACCTGGCTTGGGTGTTATTCTGGGCAGCTCACTGCCCGTATACCCTACTGGCGTGGCGCCCTGGAAAGGTTGTCCTGGAATTCCAAAAGGCGCACCTTGTGGTAAGTTTTGCGACGGACCTGGTAACATTGACGGTGGTGTGACACTGTTCACAGATACTTTGCCAACAAATCCATACGTACTTCTTCGGGTACATTGGTGGCGGTATTATGAAATGGTGAGGCGCTTGTCTGCGACAAACCCATAGAAACTGGCGCGGGAACATTGCTGGCGGTAGTACGAAGCGCCGGGCGCTTACCTGCGAGATTTGTACACCGTTCCTCGCAGGAATGTGTAGTACTATGGTACCTGTGCTTACACTGCTACAGGGTGATGTAAATCCTGAGCCGGAACATATGCAGGAACCCGGGGCTGAATATGAAGGGACAGCAGCAGGGTATACTCTGCTGTCTAGAGTGAGTCTTCTTGTGTCGGCTGAGATCGTCAGTCCTGGCGAAAGCACTATTGCAGATATCGCAGGCGTACGGTCTCTCCCCAGTATGAGTCCGGACGCGTCTTTTCAGCTGGTCTTTTCTTTTAAAACTTCATGGGCACGTCTGACAATGATGTATCCTGTTGGGATGCGAAATCTCGGACATGGCTCTTGAGGTCCTCGACACTCTGAGACTTGGCATTCCAGCCTTTGTGGAAACAATGATGATCATCACTTGATCACTTGGCCAATTGTTCTCGCACTGCCCTGGCTGCAGAATGTACAGCTCCATGACTCGGAAGAGTTGAAGGCGATGCTGGTTGCTATTCAGACACTAGTAGCTGAAAGGACGCCAATTCAAACGCCAGGCATGACCGTGTGTGAACAGGCGTGAGGGCGTTCAGCAAGAACTGTTTTCAGGTGTAGCCATAATACACAGATGTCGGTACAGCTTGAACTACAGGTCCTGTAAGGCAAAAAGAGATTCAATGCCAACTTCCGTTGTCCGTAAGGAACGAGGATTCATGACAATCAGCCCACTTGGCTGGTTTGTTTGGAAGGATCACATAGATGGACCTAGCAACCCTCACCTTCGGGTTGCTAGGTGACGTTCTTACCCTGGATTAGGTAAACACACTGTCGTGGAGCAGGTAGAGGGGACGGTTTCAAATAGGACATAGGTTGCAAACCGGAACGGACTCAATATTCCCTTTCTCTCTTGGTATTTTGATTAGAAAACATATGTCACAGTGAGACTACGATGTGTTATACTCCGGGCCAAAATTTCATGGCTCTGCGATGACCAGAAGGGCCATACCAAGCAGGTGAGTTTTTGACGTGTTGCTTCGCACTGCGACTTGAGTTTTACGACTTTCGAAAAATCAACTTCTTGTCGCAGGTAAACAGCGGCTCGCCTCTCGCCAATAAAGCACCGCATACCAATCAAACCTAATGGAAGCACACACAAGGCTTATTGTTAGTCTGTACTGGCCGTCGTGGAGCGATAGCAATTACCTAATTTCAGACCCAGAGTGAATTTGACGTGCACTCTAAAACGTGTCCGGTTTGGAGCCACCTCTGATTTGAACTTTTTTGAAGTGAAAAATTGGGCAACTTGGAGGCAATGGGACAACACAAAGGAGTGGCTCAGTTCGATTGACTCTGGCCCCAGAGCAAACTTCAACATGCCAGTTTCCTTCCACAAACATATTTCGAGTGAAAAATCAACGCTGGTGATCGGTTGTGGTCTATACAAATTTGGCTGTCAAAGCGTCCCAGTATCGAGCCGTCCCCTCTACACTGGGCAGTGATCTTGGATCCACATCTTCGTAGTCCGGTTCATCGCAATCTCTCACGTCGACGACCTCATTGTAGGTGACGCTCAGCATTGCTTCGGTGACTTCTTTGGCTTCTGCTAATGCTACTTGTGCCTGTCCGCTTCACTTGTGGCGAGGATTCGGTGCTACCGTTGGATTGAAATGTGGAATCTGGTGACGCTAACACATCAGAACTCGACGTTGTCTCCGATCTAGTGTTCGCATTGCAGCGAGCCGCTCGGTGGTCAGATGTCTTGCTCTTTCCACCGCTGTAGTTGTAGTATCGGAACGACGACGAAGCCTGCTCACCGTTTGCCAGCGTGACCACAGGAGTCCTGGTTGGCAGCCGCTGTGCTTGCTGGAGTTTGCATGTTGAGGGTACCCAGACACGTGCCCCTCCGGTAACACAGGCTGTCCCGCCAATGGTGAGCTTCTCTTAGGAGAAGGAGTGCTACGATCTGAAAAGAAGAAAGATCAAGAAGCAAACAAGCCGTCGTTTGAGTTGTTCCCCGTGGAGTGTTATTCCATTACTATCCTCAACTGAACTACCAATAGAGTGCTATTATGCTTCCAAATATTGGACTCCGTTCGGCGCTGATTGTTCCTCTAGGAGGAACCTGACC